GACCAAAGTAAGACAGATATTCAATTACAAGACAAGGTACGTACCTATGTACCACAGGCATGCATAAATCCCCATAAATCATACATTATAAATCCATCTAAGTCCCAGCGGTTAGTCGAAGGCCGACGCCAGGAGCTTGTTTCTGAAATTTAGATGAACTGTGCTTATGGAATACAATAACCATGTGAAACTGAGTGCAATTCTTAAGCTTCGTTTTCTACATTAACTTGCGTCAGAGTGAGGAGTTAAAGTGAATATCTAAGAATCATGTTGGCGAAATGGACGGCACGAACGCAGATTTGCGTAGATTATTGATGGTGGTGGTGGGGGGGGGGGGGGGGGAGGGGCAAGTCACACGCCCAACAATCTAACTCCCATGAAATACGTTTGCCGCAAAGTAATGTAATGTGCATGTCGGCATAACCCGGTTTATTTTGTCGAAAGGAAATTTTCAGCTATCAAATTTGTGCCATTTATTAAGTAGACCTTCATCACAGCAAGTTAGTAGTTATTGTTACCAAAGGATGCCGACAGATAGCATGTCTGGTGTGATTGGTGGTCCAACTCAACATTAGGTGAGGAGGGGGCAAGGCATCCTTAAAGGCCACTTAGGAGTGGCAAATTAATCTTCAAGAGTAGCAGTTTAAAGGCATCTTAAGAGCAGGCAACCTTAAATGTTACCTTTTTTAACTTATTTTGAGATTTAGATAGTCCAGTCAGACTCTACCGTCATACACAGTAAGAATCAGTCCACGTATTCCCTACAGGAGGTTTTTGCGATAGTCTCCAAAGAACCTCCCACCAGACGAGTTTTTTGTGTTGGATAGATCGACAGCTAAACCGACTTTTCCGTGAACACTGGACTGCAGCTCCGACAACAAGATTGCTGCGCCGGCCTGCAGCAGCGACCCCACGCACGACAGCCGCGCGGCGGCCTGACCCGCCCCCCCCCCCCCCCACGTGTCACAGCCGCGGTCGAGCGCGACGCTCCGAAAACACGGGCGGCGGCCGGTCGATGTCGGTCGCGGCGACTGTCCGGCCCGGTGACGGCTGCCCGGCGCGCTGACGCCCACGTCACCTGACGCGCTAGCTTCACGCCGCCGTGTTACGGCAAAAACGCCGCCACTTCGGCGCCGGTGTCGTCCGCTGACAGCGGTGTGAAGTGACGCGATTGGGCGTGGCGCGGGAGCAGTGCCCGACTGGGAGCGCCGCGACGGAGAGTGGTGACTGGGAGAGCCGCGACGGAGACTGGTAGCGCCGCAAAGGAGAGTGGCGACTGGGAGCGCGGCGGCGGAGAGTGGCGGCTGGGAGCGCCGCGACGGAGAGTGGCGAATGGGAGCGCGGCGACTGAGACTGGGAGAGCCGCGATGGAGAGTGGTCGCTGGGAGCACCGCGACTGAGACTGGGAGCGCCGCGACGGAGAGTGGCGACTGGGAGAGCCGCGACTGAGACTGGGAGAGCCGCGAAGGAGAGTGGCGACTGGGAGCACCGCGACGGAGACTGAGAGCGCCGCGAAGGAGAGTGGCGACTGGGAGAGCCGCGACTGAGACTGAGAGCGCCGCGACGGAGACTGGTAGCGCCGCAAAGGAGAGTGGCGACTGGGAGCGCGGCGACGGAGACTGGTAGCGCCGCAAAGGAGCGTGGCGACTGGAAGCGCCTAGAAGGAGAGGGGTGGCTGGGAGCGCTGCGACTGAGACTGGGAGCGCCGCGACGGAGAGTGGCGACTGGGAGCGTCGCGACGGAGACTGGTAGCGCCGCAAAGGAGCGTGGCGACTGGGAGCGCCTGGAAGGAGAGGGGTGGCTGGGAGCGCTGCGACTGAGACTGGGAGCGCCGCGAAGGAGAGTGGCGACTGGGAGGGCCGCGACTGAGACTGGGAGCGCCGCGTCGGGACGGTGCGACCGAGAGCGGCGACGGAGAGACGTGACAGGGAACGGCGACGAAAAGCGACGCGTCCGCTCGAATGCCTGCAGATTGTTGGTGGTATATACACTCAATACACTCGCTCATAGGTGTATACACCTGCGGATGTATTAATCACGTGCATTGTCAATGCACGTACGCTGCATAACGCGTGCGACTGTGATGAACACCCACCGGAGTGATCCGACTTGTAGATGGCAGTTTGGGATCATTTAATGACGCGTGAATATTCTTTGATCATATTCCCTAACGTCGATTTGGCCGGGGACGGCGTTCACCGCTAAGTTCATCGGGTGCAAGCCCACGGCTTTGGAGCATGGCCGTGGGCGAACGCTCGTCGACGGAGCTGCGCAGTGCCTGAGCTTTAGAAAGCACGTACGAACATCACCGACTGCTCGGGTCAGAGGGTCCCCTGCGTCAGGGAAGGGGGCAATTCATGATGTACCCATCTGAAGGTCTCCGGATCGACCAAGAACCGCTGTGTGCCCAGAATGGTAGCCAGTGTGCATCCTGGGCTGGGACGGGGTGGCCCTTCAGCCCATGGACGTCAAAGCAAACAGGCTCCAAGTGTTCTACCCACGTTCGCCCCTTATCAAATCAGTCATATGCTGTGAATGACAAAAAAGTTGATTTGAATAAAAGTACAGTGGGTGCACCCCAATCTTGACAAGTTGAGGGCGGAGAGTGCGACTAATTGTGACTCCTGCACGATTGAGAGCGATTCCTTCGCAACTGACTGCGATTCCAGCGCGATGTCTTTAGTCCGCGGCCTGTCTCTGACCTGGCCCGACAGACAGCGACCGATCACGGTCACCCCACGCCCTCCGTTTGATGACGGCCGTTCGGCTAGGAGCTGGTTCGCTGAAATGGCAGTGGTCCCACGTGACTGGATGGCCCACTTAGCAATGCCGTATTTAGTGCTGCGATGCATTGAAACGATCAAATTGCCGAGCGCCGTTTCGCTGTAGGCCGTGCCTCAGGGAGGGCGTCAAGATTAGAATGGGCCGATCGTTAAGCGATCCCGGCGCGGCCCCAGCACCGCCGGCCGCCCATCCCCGACGGCGGACCAGAGGTGCGGCCGCAGCTACTGTCTTCACTTCGAAGCAATTCGAGCCCGGTAATCTGGACCGCATTTCGTTTCATAAAAGAATGACGTATGCCATATCTAGCGATGTGTTATAGCAATGGTGCATGCAAATTCGTCCGACAAGCTATACTTCCATGCCACAGGTTTACAGCGACAGGTGCTTGCATGAATATCAGAAATAAACTTTCGTTCATGGTTGTAAATTTTGTGGTTTTTACGCAGGCATCCAGCTAGAGTTTTGGCAAGGAGAGGAGAAGGCAGACAACTTGATGAATGCCTGGCACGTAGCCGAAGTTTTATCAGGGAATGTCAAATGTTCGCCTTGGCTAATTTCTGCGAAATCGCCCAGTATTTAATGTGAACCTCTAGGCTCAGGGGGGCGATATCCCCCTAGCCCTTCCAGTGCTTCCTTGGTGAAGGCAGTTCAGGTTTCTCTGAATTTGACTCAACTGATTAGCCCCATTTTGTGGTTATCCAGTTATATCGACTCGTTCGCTCAGCGAGGCGTGCGTGAATTGAACAATAAGGCGACCCCCCGCACCGTTCCTGGACAAGGGGCAAACGTGAGTAGAACACTTGGAGCCTATATGCTGTCCTGGTCATGGGCTGAAGGGCCACCCCGTGTCAGCCCAGGAGGCATACTGGCTACCATTCTGGGGACACAGCGGTCCTTTGTCGATCCGGAGGCTTTCAAATGGGTACATCATGTATTGGCTCCCTCCCTGACGCAGGACACCCTCTGACCCGAGCAGTCGGTCTCGAATCAACGCAAGAGTCGTAACTGACACAGTAGGATTCCTTGTCCGCACAGGGCGTTCAATAATTGGCACATGGACCTCAGTTCGGCTTATCGGGTCCCTGGCTGAAGCGGGGCGGAGGACCCTATTCCTACTTACTGGGACCCCTGGGTGACACAGGCCTCTCCAGTGTGATGTCTCACTGTGCACTGTTATTGTCTTTTATCACATCTCCCGTCATTGTCAGAGGGCCCCGCTTATGCAAGAAGCCTTCTGACAATCAGGATCCCGTTTCTGTCCATGTTCAGCAAATTGGTCATTGGCCGGCTCGGGCCCCTGCCGACGCAGGATCCTCTGTCAGACACTGCGGACCCCCTGACCATGGGTGGGGCACATCAATTGCGAGGGTGTCTTGGGGTGGGGGGGGGAGGGGAGGGGCGACCAAGGCAGGAGTAGATCCTCTGACTGACATTTACCTCGTCTCTGCTTGGGACATAGATCCTCAGGCCGGAACGGTGCGGACTGCTTGGTAATCGGGGTCCCTGGCAGACACAAGGGCCTTCATTGTCTCAGGGGCTACTGACCGGCACAGTGGGCCTTCTGGCACTCGAACCCCCGGTCCGCAGGGCCGGGGTCCCTCAATGCGATATTCGGCCCTTCAAACGGGCTCTTTATCGCCGGGCCCGAGGGCCCGAAGGGGACCTCAGGACAAAAAGCATAGCGCGTGCTCCTGCGGCCCCTGGCCCTACCTCTGCTTGCATGCTTCAAGTTGTTGAATATCTTATCATTATCGATTTGATTCCACAGGCCTGGAAGCCGCGCATGAATAAGTTTGCGCTTGTTATCCGTCTAGCAAATACCGTATACCGCTTTGGACTGCGTTTTTCAAAGGACGCTAGGACATGAACAACATGGCTGAAAAATAGAACTTTTCAAAGAATGGCACTAACCATATACGCCAGTAGCCATATATACCACTTGCCACGTGTACCACTAGCGATGTATGCCATTAGTCACGTATGCCACTGGCCATGTGTACCACTGGCCATACATACCCCTTCTGAGGGTAGGGCTGTAGAAACATGCAGGACACAGAGCATACCACTTTCACTGCACGCCGCGTATCAACGTTACCTTGTTAAACATGATTCATTTTCACCAGATCAGCCGCAGCGTGCCCGGTCCGCGGCTGGGCGCTTATCGTACGGCAGCCGATGGTCAGGCGGACGCAGCAGCCACCTCGCACCGTACTCACACGCTGAAGTGGTAGATGAAGCACATCCAGCCGCCGGGGTGCTCAAGGAACAAGTACACGTTCTCCTGCAGGCTCTTGGGCTTGCGCTTGGTGGAGAACACATACTTGGTCTTGAACTCCTGGTCCATGGGCAGGTAGATGGGGTACAAGTAGTTGCTGAGCCCATTCGGACCGCTCCCATGGTCGATCTGCGTCACCACCAGATCGTCGTCCTCGTTCATGACGCCTTCCAGGAAGAGGAGCTGGTCGGGCGGCTGCGAGCCCCGCAGCGGACTGGGCGATCGCGGACCGGCACCGGCCGACGGCAGCTGCGGCGGCGGCGTCAGCAGCACTTCGTCGACGCCGGTGCCGACGTCGACGGCAACGGCGGCCTCCACTGCGTCGGGACACCCATGGCCGCCGCTCATCAGGCCTCTACGGCCGCAGGGTCACCGTGACTGCCGGCCGCCGCCGCCGACGCCGCCGGCGCCGACGGCAGGCCACACCTTCGCCGGGTGACGTCATCACAAACACCGCCGGCGCGTGACGTCGCAGGACGGGCCGCGCTGAGCCTGCTCCACGCGAGGCGGTCGGCGGCGCACACCCGGGACGCTACCGTTAGCTGTTTGACACCAAAGGCTTCACTGCCGATGCCCGAGTCTGCAGGTGTGCACTGCCTCGGCGGGAGTTTTGTTTCGCGCGAACAGTATTGCTTTGTCGCGTCCCGGCTGACGCGTGTTATGCGGAAGTATATGTAACCACACTTATGGATGGAACTTTTAATTAGACATCGCTTCAACTTCGAAGACGTGACCTAAATCTAATTTGCTGTTTGCTCAGGTGTCATACGGGAAGCAGCTGGAAACTAGTTGTTTGGCTGCATCGGAGCAAATAAGACATCATGAATGATGCATTGAAATACCTTCTAGAATACACTAGTGAAACGTTCACTGGGAAAATGTGCCTGCCTAGCCGACAGAATCGTGTGTGCCCATCTCATTCCGATGCAGAAAGCATGTTATTGTACACCTAAGCAGACGCTGCCCTCCAGTGACAGCATAGCGAAGGTCTGTCCCGAAATTTAAACTGGAGCGCACACTTCGGGCTGTCCAAAGGCTTTATTCCAAATTGGCCCTCTGGTCGCAGTTAAGCTGGTCAGTCATAGATAATGATGTTGTGCATTCGGACGGGTGGGGGCTGAGACGCTGGCCTCCTCGGCTGCCGGCGTCCATGCACTGCGACTGCTCCACAGAGCTGAGGTGGCCTCGCCGGGCGCCCCGGCGGGGGCGCCTCCTTGGCTCCTCGCCGCCGGTCACCTCCTCGCCGAGCGCCTCCTTGAACTCTCTAACGCAGTTGAACTCTCTAACGGCGACTGCATTTCATTTGCAGTGTAAAATGTACATTGAGGGGACTCTGCCCGTTAAGAAGGTTTTAGTTGTATAGAACAAGGCAACAACTCTGCATCTAAAAGTAAAACAGGTCCATGAGACGCAAAGAAATTGAAATCACTGTCATCTCTTTCATGTTTTGCTCTTTCATCCTTAATCCTCCTTCGCTCTTTCATTCTTAATCTCTTTCAATCTGTATAGGAGTAAGAAGGGTATGACAACAAGCAAAGGGCAATTTCGAGCAAATGGAAAATTGCAGCATCTGAAAGCATTACAACGCATATCTCTCCTTCGCTTCGGATAACCTCACAGCCACTGACATCTAGTGCCTGGCGAAGCAGACCGACGTTTTGCGAAAAGCCTCAGTACATAATACCCGATAGCGTGGCGGCCCTTCTCTGGCAGGCGGCACTGCCAGGTGCTCCCACTGTTTACCTATGGCCTCCCTGCACCGGCCGGCCACGGTCGGGGCGCCACCTGTTGGCGTTCCCCAGCGCCGCGTGGGTCGTCACGACCGCCCTGACCCCTGGCCGGCCACGGTCGGGTCGCCACCTGTTGGCGTTCTCCAGCGCCGCGTGGGCCGTCACGGGCCGTCACGTCCAGGGACCCTGACCCCTGGCCGGCCAGGGCAGCGGTCGATGTTGGGTGCGCGTCCGCGGCCTGGCTTAAGCTTCGAAACCGCACAGGCGTGCATCGATACCATCAGGCCCAAGCGGCGGCGGCGGCCCGCTGGAACGCTAGATCGCGTTGTTCTGGGCACTTCATCAGAACGGTTCGCACGCAAGGTGCTTCTGCAGCGCTGATTGGATTTTCATAACCGAACAAGTCCTGGTGATTACGGTAGGTCGGTTAATGCACGCCACGGCGCAAAAGATTACGGACGAGGCCGTTGAATTATGCATGTTTTGAAGAGCCCGGTCCTCGGTAGACCGTGGATAGCTTTCGTGATGAGCACTAGAACAAACAAAACGGTTTTGACCGCGCTTCTGCAGGTTTTCACTTAAGCGATGTCAACCTCAGGCACGAAATGGCAAAAAAAAGGTGCAAAACATCAAACGTTGCGGAGTCTGAGATATATTCCTCACAAGCTCGTATTTCATCGTTCAAACATACCCACAAGATCGGGTTAGCTTGCCTAGCCGCAGACCTTGTGACAACATATACTTACCATACCGTGGCATTCCATAGTCAGACCGACCACCAGTATCTATGCAACACCCAACAAATGTCGCAATGCCTCATTTGCGAAAGCTCATCGGGCCATTGGTTGGTTTTGGAGAGCTTGATGGTTTATCAATGGCGCAGTCCTTTTACTGATTGTTTTAGGCAGCGTCCTTGTTGCGACTGAAATTTCAGGCCGTTATTGACAAAAATATGCAGCTCGATGGGCAAACACAGCATAGACGAACAATGAGTAGAGGGGGCGGGGGGAGCAATGAAAAATAACTAACTTACCCCTAAAATACGCCAACAAACGTGTTTCAGTCGGGATTTGGCCCACTCTCTTCTTAAAGTTTGGAGGGCTGGGGACTAAGTCTAGGGGGGGGGGGGTGAAATCTACCCCCCCCCCCACCCCACCCTAGCTAAATAAGAAACTACGTCCCTGGACATAAGGTTGGATTATTTACTCGTAATACATGAATAATGCATGCCGTTGAATCGGAAGCAGTTTTAGCAACATGCCAGCGAAAAATTTAGCAGTCTAAAGCTTGCACATTGCGAACGCCTCGTAAATCAAAGATCTTAAAACGGCTTGTTGCGAATTTGTTTGGCATTTTGGAACAAAATGCCCCGTTTTTATTTCACTGAATTTATAAGCACCTTCCGCGGCATAGACTTCATAACCACATAACAGCAGACTCGTCTTTTACTCTACTCTGTCCTATTTCTCAACTTCATTTTTATCCCAGATTATGAGGAAATGTTGAAGCAAAACTTCTCCATTTGGTATGCGCAGCAATCAAATTGAGTAGTTCTGAAAGGGTGTCATTTGGTTTCCGAATCAATTTCTTTCTATTGAATTCAATATTGCTATGAATCTGGACGACGAAATGAAAGCTGGACCGGCGGTTGGTGCGAAAGGAAATTTGAGCGTTCTCGATTATGATAAACTGAATTTCGCTGACTGAACTGATATGACGTGATACTATTTGATTGAGTTCTTGGGCGCCCACTGCTTAATGGTTTCCGACATTCTTGAACATCACTTCAAGACACCAGTGATTGGCACCAGTCATCGCAGCATTAAAGAGGATTTTCCGGAACGTCTGCTTGTCACCCTGAGCTCTCATAACAGCTGCCTTCTACTAAATACGGCATACAGGCAAACAACACTCAACAAAGCGATATTATTTGCATTGAAGTCACGCCAGTTACGTCATTGGCATTCGGTCAATTGGCGCTAACAATTTACTGTTGCTCACGCTCATTTTGGCGCTCGCAACAATCAATTAATTGATCAAGGTAATTAGTTTCGAGCAAGTTATTCTGTGGTATTGTGGTTACCTGTAGATCGGCTCAATGCCACACACTTCCGCACATTGACCTGCCTCGGGCCCGTCATTCATGACGTCGGGGTTATTTCCTCTCCGCTGCGTAGCAACGGCCGCGTCACGCAGCATCGAGACTGAACAGGGGCAGGCGCGCCACGCCCGTCCATCTGTATCAGCCGCGAGATCGGGGCAGCCGACTTCCCGTACGCGCCCCCACTACCGTCTCCGCGGAACGTGGCGTCCGCCTCGGCCGGCCCGACCGGCCCGAACGGGGCGCGACCGGGCGCGCGCGCGCTGCCCGTCGCCGTAACAAGGACCGCCCCTGATTGGTGCTTTACGAGCGCTGTAAGCCGACATTATCCGTGCTTCACTCGCGCCCCCGTCTCCCGAACTATCGATTTCGTCGAATGAACGGCGGCCGGGCGGCGGCCGGGCGTCAGCCGTGACGCGACCATCGGCGCCGGCCATGGATTATCAATATTAACAACGGCGCTAATGGCGATGTGTTCGGTGTTTGTTCGCGCGCGCGCCGAACGCGGCGCGATCAATTCGCCGTGCCCCTCACCTGGCAAGACTGACATCGGCCCGACGCACCAGCGCTTGTCACCATCACTCGGCCGCGTCGGCAGGCGCACGACAGCTTACACAGCTGACGTCACCGGCATCGCCCCCAGGTGCCGGCGACAGTCACGTCAATATGGCGCACTGGCGGCCGGCAGGATCGCCGCGGCGTGCCGGTGGTCATTGGGATCGCAACAACGCGCCAACAGTGGCCAGATAGTGCGGAATAATGAGTAGCGGCAGGACGCAGGGTATTGATGCCGGACTAGACGCCAGGCGACGAATGTGGCGCATTGAGTGTGACGGTCGTTGAATTAACATCCCACAATGAAGATGCCACCGGCGGAATTACCATGCTACTGATATGCCTATAATTCAGTTAGGCTCGGCTCTCTAGAAACGACACGCCCTTTTATCATTCTGTGAATGAAGAGCACTTTTGAAATCGGAATGGGAAAAGCAAATGCCGTTTTCGTGTTGGCCTGGCGTTTCCGCAGTCCCACGCCACCGCCGTCGAAAAAGCGTCATCACGCAACAAATGTGAACTCTTTATTTATGGTGATGAAAGCAGCTTTTCTGGAGCGTGACTGGATGTGATCCTGAAATAGACCGGCACTGACTCATCGGATAGAAGATGACCTTATTCCACTAGGGGGACGTCATTAACACTAATGCGCTGCTGACCTTATGACCGAGGTTTCGCATCGGCTCGTTTTGTTCGCACCGGTGGGGCATGAAAGCCGCCTTAAAGGCAGTTTATTTCGGCGTCTCTCAGAGCCGAAATATGTGCTGTGAAACTCGGTACCGTCATGACAGATTTGGAAGCTAGGACAAAACCTTTGGTATCACAGCTCTTTACCGTACCGTCTTCC